CTTTTCATTCTGTTTTACTACATACCAATTTATACAATGTTTGAGTTTCCTTTATGTTCCATTAATTCATGTCTCCATTCTCTAATAGATGCACACACTTTTAATGTAGTTTTGAAATATATTTTATCATATATGTTAATGCATGCATCCTTTTCATTATACACACACACACAAATAATATTTGCTATTCTTGTCCACAAAATTTTCAAGATATTCTAGAAAAATCATTTTCTATAAAAGCTCAGGAAAACATCCCACCTGTACTGACTGCACTTATCATGGAGCAATAAATGATATGGAAATCATTGATGTCATAACAATATTCACTCCCCTCAGCTTCAAATGACTATGTATATCCATTTTTCTTAAGACTTTCATGGCTTTTGACTAAATTTTGTAGTTTTCTATATGTAGGTCTTGCAATTTTTGTTCTCAAAATCCTTCAAAAGCAGTGATTCTGAAAGCCCTAAATTCTGATACTATTTGCATCAGAAGATAGTTGGTAGTTTTATAAGTTGTAATGCTGTTATTATACAAATCACTTATTTAACTAAAAGCTTTGCCTTTCAAGCTACAAAAATTTGAAATTCATCTAAAAACCAACAATGATTACTTTAAAATTCAATGTTCAATTTTGTTTCCTCTTAGAAACAGCGAAGTTTTTGCATTAGAACTCCTGTTAACAAGTAAACTTAAGTATTATTATCCTTTATTATATATTTTAATAAGAAATGCTCTTAATTTTTATGTTATCTAAGCACCTAACTATGAAGTGCTTTAAAATTTTATTTAAAAACTATGATACCCAAATATCATAAAACAGACATATACATCAATTATCTCAATTTATGCACAATCTAGAATGTGTCCAGTATACCCAAATATACATAAAATGTGGTTTTATATCTCCCTGTCTACTAAGAAAAATTCTACTATTTTACCTCATCCCTTCATGAGTGTTTTTCCAGTTACAGGGACTACTGGATGCATGTATTTCCTAGCAGCGTTACAGATCAGGATATGACTTTGCTTTACTTTTATAAGTCCCAAAGAGCTGTGCAACTATATTTCAATAAATATTCACTCATGTCATTCAAAGGTGATTGATCTTTAAAATGTGTCAGTAATGTGTGTGTGTGTGTCTGTGTGTGTGTGTGTGTGTGTGTGTGTGTGTATAGTACAATGTGTTTGAAAAATAGCTCTGTACTTCAAGGTGTTTTCAAGGAAATGGCTTTAGATTTTGGGGTGCTTCTGACACTTACATGAATATTGAAGGCATTTTTTCCCAGATGCTTAGATATTTTGCCAAAACATGCTAAAACAAAATCACTTAGAGAATATGAACCAGCCCAGAGATTAACAAAATCTCCAACTACACAGGCTTCCACAAATAATGAGATGAAAACAACAGATAATTCGGAGCCATCAAATATTTCAGTGCTTCGCTCTCTTACTATGACATATTTATCCCATATGAAATATTTGTACAAGAAGTGGTAATAACCTTCCTGGACAGGAAGAATAAAGGTTCTGTAGAAAATGTTAACTTAATTTTGGTGGTGATGCAAAGTTAAGGAAGGGTTGTTAAGGGGTGGCCTGCTGCCACAGGGTGGAGTTTTGTTTTGGTATCCTTTTAGAGCCTGCAGGTGTTTGGCACCAGTGAAAATCATGGCCAGCTGTGATATTTCAATAATTCTGATATGTCCCTCCCCATAGTTCTCAGAAGTAATGCTTCAGAGTTATGTCTTACACCTGATTATTCAACTTGTGTGGTACAAATGGGAAGATTTTGTTAAATAACATCAGTTTTGTGACACCCTTTGCCCTTCTTCCCCACTCTCAGGCTATGACATTAAGGACAAAAAAAAAAATCACTAATCAAAGGCTCTGATCATTAATCTTTTTTAACTGAGCAGTTCAATCATAGATTATGATGCAGTTAAGTAACTAAATATACACTGTTAGGAAGTGAAATCCTGAAAGCACGCTGGTGCACTCTCTTTTGATACTCTGTGGAGATAATAATGCTTTGAAACCCCTCTCAGTGGTGACATCCATACCTATATTCACGGAAATTTGAAAAGTTTCTATTAAAAGCTGCATTTTCTTTTAAGTTTGTTTGGGTTGGAAATCCTCAAACCACAATGTATTTCATGCACATGTTCCCAAGGGTATGTTAAATAGGACCATACTGAGGTCATCTAGTAAGTTTTTGAAACTTTTTTAAGAATTCCTTTAATGTACTGCACAATCTTGGCCTGATTAAAAGAAGATATTTTAAGAAAGCACTTGGAAAAATGACTGGCTATTAAAATCTACATGCAGATAATCTATATTATACTGCATAATGCACAGAGCTTTCCCCCAGATAATCTGTCATTCAAGTAGGAAAAACAATAAAACTAGCATACCATTTTGAATCACAATTTCTTAGAGCTATCAGTAAATACAGAACAAAGGTTCTTGTAGTATTCTTGAATGAACTAACAATGGATGATTGTAGGATAAATTTAACTGTATATAAGTCTGTAGCATTTAATCAGAGGATAAAAGGTAGATAATCATTCATCTATCCAGAAAATATGAATCATCTGTTGTTCCAGTTCAGTTTTAGAAAATCAAGTTTTCCTGGCACATGATTCTATGCTGAAATTGTTAGGTAAGGTTAGCAATAGTATCTACCACCAAACACATTTTTGTTGCCTATAGTTTTTCAAGACACAAATGAAATATAACTGATCTACTTTGATAAGTAGGCATACAAAATTCTTTTTTATTCCTTGAGGATCCCAAGTCTTTTTCTCCCCCAGCTAGACATACCCCTTCCTGCTTCATCAAAGCCTTCCCTCCTGCGCCATGTCCCAGGCCTTGTATTTCACCCAAAGTAATTTCCAGTTCAGTGAGCAGCTGTGCTGGCAGAGCGCACATGGAGAGCCTGCCGCTGCGCCAGCCCCGTGTTCCCACATCTGAGCACAAGTGACCGATTCCTTGTACCCAGGGCCAAGAAACGCTGCAGCTCATCAGAAGAAAGCAAGATTGCCCCCCCAACGGAAATCATACTTACAAAAACTTTTATGGAAAATGAAAAATGATAGGGTTTCAGTAACCAGAAATGATGAAGAGTTGAGACCTTCCTGGCACAGAGCATGGATGCGTCTTCTTAAGAGGACACTAGAGAGTGATATTATGTAAATGATCCCCATCTTGGTGGCTACACTGGGTATGTTTCTATCCACACATTGAGCACCTACCAACTAACAACCACTGTGCTACTCCCTTGATAAACATCTCATTTTATACCCTCAACAATATAGAGACATTATCCTATTTCACCATATTACAGTTAAAGAAACTAAAGCCTGGAAAGTTTATAAAACTTTCTAGCAATTTTGACACTGTGGTCTTAACCATTATGCTATATTCAGTTCTGCACCCGCCTGCCCCTATTCAACTGGGCCTACTTTGTCAGCCCCAGTTGAGATACAGCAGCCACTTAATCATTTGGAAAGCTTACACTTTCCACATGTAACCAACTTATTCATTTGCTGATTCACACTTACATAAATATTGATCTTGTACCTGTTGTTGAAGTCAATTTTTAATTTGTTTTTCAGAGATGCAAAGAGAATTCATATTAAATCTCTGACATCTGGTATATAATGCATTCACTAAGGTCATCTTGAATAAATGAAAAAACTTTCTCCATAGCCATTTTTAGAGATCATGTTTAGGTTATTTTAATAATGTTTAATTTTCTGATTTTTCCACATGAACCATTGCTTTAACATATCATACACTGAAGTGTGTAGGATTTCATATTTATCTCAATTTGAGTGCATATTTTCCTGATATTTTCTGAGAATTTTTCATCAGCATTTTCTGTTCCTTTATCTATGTTTGATCACATGTAAAGTCACCAAAGGAAAGAATTAGTCTTAAATATTAGTAGGTATGTTCTAATGGATGTAAAATGAAGATACCAAAGATACAAAGCGGCATTTACATGAAGTTTTTCCCTCAAAAAACTATATTCTGTTTCTAATAATTCATTTCAAATAAAAAACCTTCTACTATATAGATATAAAGGCCCAAGGAAAAAAATTCTATAGTTTCAAACTGTTGGAAATTGAATGTGAATCATTACAGCAAAATCTATATAGAAAAATAAAGGTCCTCTCCATTTCAGGGTTAACATATGAGTGTAAGATATGGTAAATTGCTTGTCATTATGTGAGTTGAAATAATAGTATCAAAAATTGGTATTTTGACAATATCTAAGAATAATCACATGAATAATACTATAGAAAAAAAATTATTTGTTTAGTGTGACCCTTCTTCCTGGGCCCCACGGAGATTCTGAAGAAATGTATAGCATAAATAGCACCCTTTAATCAAAACAGATGACAACTTCTTATTTACCGAATTAAGCATAACTTGCTTTGTCCATTTTAAGACAATCATATAATCAGAGGTGAGCTGTAACTGAAATTTCTTATATTTCTTTCTACAAAAAAATATCTGAGAGCCTAACTCCAGTATCTCAATTTGTCTATATTTCTGTAGTGGCTAATGAGAGAATATAGTAGGTTCAACAGATGAAAAGAAGTATGTTTACAGACAGCCAATTCTAAATGTGAATTCATTTCACATTCACAATTTGAACATATCAATGCAGTCATGTTATGTAGCTTGAAGCTTAAGATCAATGGAAAATTTTATGTTTCTATGAATCAGTCTGGATAGGAAAGAAAAGCAACCAAAAACTTCAAAAATCAAACCTGGGGCTCTGCAAATACAGTCTTCATGTTGTTGATTGGGCCATAAGGAACTCCAGAGCCTTCAAAAAGACACAGCCACGTGGAAGTCACTTCTTCTTCAAGCCTGGCAACAGACCAAAAAGGATGCATGTTCACACTCGAGAAGATGAAGCACGGCCTCGTCTCTGGTGCAGGCCGCTTGCTAAGTAACTAATGGTGACAAAATATATCCCTTTGGCTTTCTTTAAGCCTCATATTAAGTGAAAATTATCTATATGAAACAACTTATATGCCCCTGTAGCAGTAAGAGCAGCCATCCAAGCCTCCGGATTTAAAAACTATTAGCAATATAATTCCTCCTATTTCTATCTATATATTCTTCAAAAGAGTCTGCTAGAAAAGAAATACTGGGTAGAAAATGGTATTAACTGAGTTCCAAATGTGGTTTTGAACAAATTACAAAAATGATGATGATTATAATAATAATAATAACAACAACAACAATAATAATAGTAATGATAATGCAATTTGATCATGAAGTCATGAAGCTAAACAATTTTTAGATCTCAGGTACAATATCAGATTAGGGTAGACAGTGATACCCTAAAAAATAAACATAGGTGTTTTAAAAGAAAGTAATGTATAAACTACAAAAGAATTAACAACTATAATCATTGACCTAAAAATCAACATTAAATTTATTTGTTTATTTATTTAAAACTCAACACTTGAAAAAGATAAGGATTTTAGATTAAATTGATAACATTCAAATTTATGCATGTCCTTTACCTCTGTTGTCTTATATTATTGAAAATTGAGCTAAGACAGAAAAGCATATTTAATTTATTTTTTATTGGGGCTTATGCAAACATTTTTAATGAAGGGAAGGTTACATTTCACTAGGAGAATGTTGCATACACCAAGCATTGATTCTTATCTTTAAATAGTGCCTCCTTTTTCTCTCCATTTTTATGGATAAAGACTTTTCATTATATATTCTGATTTTGTCCCAGTAATGTTCACTATCCCCATTCAGTACACAACAAAATCCTTCTGAAGATGAAAAAAAAATTTTTTTGTGAGAATATCATGATTCAAGGTTAAATGTCTTGCTTATAATTGAGTCTTCACATTCACATTTTCTTTTCTTAATGGCTGTGAACATCATCTCCTAGCAGGACTTCCTAAAATACACACAGATATTTATCATCAGAATGATATATGCTGAAAGAATAAAAGAGATTCTGTGAATCTGGAACCTTTTCAATCAGGGTATCAATTATTTAAGTTTTCATAAATAGAGTGTTATAACAGTTAGTCTGGTAAATTTTCAAGACAAGCAAATGTGTCTCCACTGGACTCACCCAAGTGGCCTAAACGATCTACACAGAGAATGCATGTCAGTATCCAAACAAATCCATGACTGCAGACAGTCAGCAGAGAACTCTGGGGAATAGCTGAAGTTTTAGTATTTATATAAGCTTTTCACCACTGGGCAAAAGAGAGGGATTTATTTCAAGCTATGGAAAACAACACACACACTTTGGAAATGAGACTGGGAGAAGAGGCAGCATCTAAACTGCAGGGTGACCACTGTTTGCATCTCTGCGTGGGTGTGGGCGTGGAAGGGCTCTTTAATGCCACAAACTCAATCACTCAGAAATGGAACATGCTGCATTCCACTGCTCCCAGAGGACTGATTCATCATTTTCTCCTGAAAATCTACCTCCTGATCTAAGTTTGATGTGGAATCCTTTCATTTATCTATGGAAAGAAAAGCTATAAGCACATGTTTTTATTAACCACAAAAATTCTGAAGAAAGGTGTGGGGGTGGATCTAAACCACTCAGGGCAATCAAATCCTAAAGATAAGACAAAAAGGGTGTCCTTAGATCCAAATTAGCAAGCCTCAGTGCCAGAGCTTCCTTTGCAAGGAAGTTATTTTGAGCCTTATAAACAATCCAGATTTCATTGTGACCCTAATAAATAAATCAATGTATTTAATTCTGGATTTTTTAATTTATCTGATGCCAGCATTGAGTATTATTAATCAGATAATATGATTTAGACAGAATAAGCGTTGCTTCCTAAACATAGACTAGACTGTAACTTTCCTAATATCAAATTTCATCTTTAAATTGAACAAAAATTTTTCTTAAATGATGAATTAAAGTTTCAAGGAAGCCAAATCTGCAAACAGAGAAAGAGATCTGGGTCACAATGACAGGAGTTGGACAGAATAGTAAACACTGATGACAACCAAATGCAAGTCAGATGTCCTAAGTTCAATCCCCAGTACCCCCCCAAAAAAAATAAAATAAGAAATTAAAATTTTTCAGTCATTAAATTTTGTCTACATTTTGTCAATTTAATCCTCATATCACATTACAAAATTATTTATCTTTATTTGACCAATTGAAATCTCTGATTCAGAAAAATAAAGTAGTTACATTCATATTTAAAATATGAGATTGCATCTGAAGCTGAGAATGCTGAACGCCAAGGCCATTTTCTAACACACAATGACTCTAGCAGAACGCATACAGAATGCACAGTTCACATGTTGCATGTATTATTTATGATTATAGACAGCTTTAAAAAGAGAGTAGAGAGGAAACTGTTCCTCTTTTGCACGAATATACTTTTTCACTTCTATTTTATATACTTCAGTATATATTCCCTGACATTAATATTCATTCATTCCTCATGTTTTTACTTAACAATTTGTTTTGTGTCAGCAAGTGAGATTAAAACAAAAAGACAATCTTTGTGTTCTGGGATCACATAGTCTAACGGATAACAGAACTAAGGAAACAGATGATTTAAAGTTCAGGATGCTACAAAAAAGATATGAGCAAACAACTTACAGTTGAAGACACAAAGAAGGACACTTGCAGTGGGCCAAGGGAGGCAGGAAAGGACTCAAAAAAAAAAGGTTGACATTTGAGCCTGGTGCTGAAGAATGTATTAGAATTTTCCATGGGAAAGGATTTCTAGGCAGGGAGGACAATGTATATACAAAGATATGCCTGGAAAAAATGCAAGCTCTCCTGTGCCTTCCACGGCAGAAGATGACATGAGAGAGCAAGTTTAGAACCAGAGTGCAAAGCACCTCGTCTGTTGTGCTATATGTATTGGGTTTCTTCTGGCAAAAGGAACCCAGAGAAGTCTTTCACAGAGGACTGGCATTGTCAGCCCTGAACTTAAGGATGGAATAACATAGATGAGCCTATAGATAAGGACACTTTACAGTAGGAAACATATTGTCTTCTGATATATCTCAAATCTACCAATTGTTCTATATTATAGTCAGTAAAGAATAAGTTCTATTTGAAAAAGTTTTCATGATATCCTTTCCTTTTTTAGTTACTGTCCTGTTGATTAGAGCTTCTGAAATCTGCCTTATTCACCAGTGCCTTTTCTTTCTCAGTTTCCAGTGTACTTAAATAGTCATTTATTAATTTTCTGCTCAGATTTCTCATCCTTCCTCCCTGTATAGTACTTCATACCTCTGAGTATTATATTTTTAAGTTCTGTGACATGCCCTATACTTCTTTTTCGTTCTGTTTAATATCTCCTTAGACATTTGTTTCTCACATTAATTCTGTAGTCAGGTCCAATACTCTCTGAGAGGGGAGGCCAAGTAGAAGGAAGTTGGAGCATCATGGGTATGCCACCGAAGGCAAGGGGGGCACCCAGCCTGAAGTCATATACTGCCTCATCATAGATCCAAAACTGGAAGACCCAACTGGCCACATGAACTGGAAACTCTGAAACCATCTCGGAAAAAAGCCTTTCCTCTTTCAATATTGATTATCTCAGGTATTTTGTCATAGTAACACAATGCTACCCAACACACTCACCCAAGCGATACTATCTTTGTACATATGTCACTCAAATTCATTCTGTAAGGTATCACTTTTTTGCCAGCTCCCTCCTAATCACTATAGGGTAATTCCACTCAGATGCACTACTCCAGTGATAAAGGCAGCATCTCCATGGGTGACTCTATCATTTCCATTTTCCTCAAACCTAGTGTTCATCCCTTGCCTGAACTTGTATCCTTGCTAAATCTGAAACTCCTTCCTTTCCACCATTTCCTAGATTGTTTATTTGAGCATGCTTCAAAGGTTAAATTTCGCTCCTCCACCTCCACCATAACTGTCACAGTCCTGGCCTTTGATGTTTCACATTTTAACAATGGTGATAGTTGGCTTTAAAAGATACTGCTTCTAGCCAGGCATAGTGGCTCACACCTGTAATCCCAGTACTCAGAGGCTGAGACAGGAGTATCATTTCTGTGAAATTAAGACAAGTAGCCTGGACTACATAGTAAGTTTAAGGCCAACCTGAATTACACAGCAAGATGAGAGAGTGAGTGAGAGAGAGAGACATAGAGAGACACACTGAGAGAGAGAGAGAGAGAGAGAGAGAGAGAGAGACAGAGACAGAGACAGACAGAGAGAGAGAGACAGACAGACACAGAGACAGACAGAGAGAGACAGAGACAGAGACAGAGAGAAAGATAGACACAGACACAGACACAGACAGACACAGAGAAAATATATCTTCCAATTTCCTAAGCACCTAAGTCATTAACTGTATGTCTCAAATTTGTTCAACTACCTCCTTCTAGAGAACCAGTAACCTCTCCAGAGCTAAAGAAATATATTGTTTATTGGCTATTACATATGCAGAAAGAAATAATGGATATGAATATTTGGGAAAAATAATAAATTGTTAATCATATTAGCCTGAATTAATGTAGTAGATTATTTACTCCTAAAGCCTCCCTAAGACTAGTTTTAATCAGACACTAAGGTTGGGAAAAGAAAGACAAGCATCTGATGTTCTCCCCTATTTTTCTAAATTGCCCCCTAAACTCTGTATAGGAGTAGTGTTGGGGAAAATAAATTTTAAATTCCAAATAACTTAGAAAAAGTGCTTAAAGCATGATGTTTCAATTTAGAGACTTATTGTGCTATGCAGAGGATCATAAGATCTCAAGACTTCAAAGGACCTCTAAAATCCATTGTTTCCTATGATCCTAAAAAATCATCATTTTATGTATACTGGAAATATTTCTAGTAATAGAGAACTCACTGGCAGCCAGGTTACCAGAAA